TGTGTGTGTGTGTGTGTGTGTGTGTGTGTGTGTGTGTGTGTGTGTGTGTGTGTGTGTGTGTGTGTGTGTGTGTGTGTGTGTGTGTGTGTGTGTGTGTGTGTGTGTGTGTGTGTGTGTGTGTGTGTGTGTGTGTGTGTGTGTGTGTGTGTGAAAGGAAAACCGTTACGAGTCTGGATTGTCAGTTAGAGGCCCGGCTGGCTGGGGCCAAAGCGGCGCACGGCGCCATCAAGGCAGGCTGTGAGAAGGCTGGGTTCGCGCGGGCTAAAGGCTACATCAGCTACCACGTCGGTGTGTCCACCAAGTCGTTGGACCACGGCATCAGACCTGCGCGCCTCATTCAGTTTAACATGAGGGTGACCAGTGACCAGCCAAATTACGTGCGCACTGTTTACCCCCGCCTCGCCCGTTGAAGCAATACCCTTCTTCGAGCAACGTACCGTATGTCATAAATGTACGCGCAGCGGTCCTCAGAACCAGCTGCTAGATACATGCCATCTGGGCGCCAGGCAAAGCCCGTTGGGTGTGCCCGACTCACGTGGCTAGTAAATCGCCGCACGCACCGATCCGTTCGCAAGTCCCACAAGGCAATGCCATCCAGCACACTGGCCGTGGCAAATAGGTTGTATGCATCTGGAAGGGCAGATAGTGGAAGTGAGCGGCACATAGCAGACTAGAAAGCAGGTCCTAGCAAAGGGCCATGTATGCAGACATTCCCCTTACGACTGACCTGGCGACTGCGTGGTAAAAGAGGACCCCTCATTCAGGACGATGCGATGTGGCGCTTTGGCGTTGGCCTGGGTGTACACACGGGCCGTACATGCCTTGTTCATGTCAAACACAGTCAGGCTCCGGTCCGTACCCGCCGCAAAGACCAGGTGGCTATGAAAGCTATTGATGGCTGCCGCCGCTGTCAATGCCTGTGTTCCGGTTTGACTTTGATCAGCACAATCGCAGACCAGACGAGAGTCGTCGCTCACGTGATAGGCCAACGCACCTGAGCAGTCGGGGCTGCAAGCTCCACCACAGCCTGATAACGACTCTTGTTGGCATAGCGCTTCAAATCGTCCACTACGGCGTGCCGTGCACCTCCGACTTGATGAGCCACGATAATAAGCACATTACACGACTGCAAACACAGCAAAAGTCCCCGCCTACCTTTGGGATCAATGTAGTACTTGAACAGTGTCACGACGTTGCCGTGAGCGGCCAACAGAAACTTGTCCATGTAGTAAAACTGCAGGTGTCGAAAGTTCTGGCGTGATGGACAGCAAGCACACCAGAGCCGAATGCAGGCGGGTGAGCTCCAGCATCATCCAACTACAAAAAAAAAGGGGGGGGGAGCGGCGACCCAGCAGCTCTGGCACCTTGAAATTGAGGTTTGGGCGAGCGTGTTCCCGGGGTGTCTTGAAGTTGTGCACCGCTGTCTGCAGCGTCAGAGGACATTGCGTCTGCAACCACGGTACAAAGTATCAGCACACATGCCGTGCATGCATCGTCACTCGGGTGCTTGTCAACCAGGTCAGATTGAACTGCTGATCAAACCTGGGCATTAAAGAGACGACCCGTGTTGTCTGTGGCCGCAGTTAAAAAGTACGAGCCATCCAAACTCCAGCTCATAGAAACAACCTAGATTTCCATCAAGGATGGTGAGAGCGATCCAAGCCAGAAATCAAGTATGGCTACAACTCCAACGATACTTTGCCCTCTGCTCTCGGACATCCTCTCAAAATAAAAGTAAAGATATTATCTCCCCCTTATTCAACGGTTATCGACCCACGCCGATCGCACAAGGATGACGCTACCTGGCCGTTGTGACCAAGAAAGATGCGAGGTTCGCGACCACGCCCCAGCGGACTGCGAAAGGCACGGACGGCATAATCCGATACGGCCGCAGCAAAATGTGCACCGTCAACGGAGAAGGCAAGGCGGCTTACGCCGTGTGGCTGCTCAGGAGGAAGAGGTAGAGGTGAGGTCGCGTGTTCAGAGCAACGCTGGGTGCGCCAATGGGACATTTGAGAGCCCAATGCTTGCAGCAAATGACGCACCGCAGCCTTGGGAACGACGGGCAGTGAGTCCAAGAGACCCGTGGGCGGCTCGCTTTGGGATGGATAAACTGCGGCGGGGCCATTGGGACCGGCACTGCCCAAGGGTCGCTTGGTGAAGGTGGCACTGGCCAGCTCACGCTGGCTGCGGGCCACATCAACAGGAAATGACCCCGACTGTGCCAATCAAACATGAATGGGCAGGCATGGGACGGGCGCACAAATGGTGAGCAAGAAAGGTGCGTTTTTTTGCCTGCAGCAATGACTTCGGAGGGCACTTGACTCACCCTCTTGGGCCGCGTTTGGGGCACAAACATCTTGCGCGGTGCCTCAGAGCCGTACCCTACCCAAACGTCAAAGATTTTCAAGTATGGCAGCGTTAAACCGGCATGAACATGACGAGCCTTCCCTGGTTGGGTGACAGCGAGCACGAAAGACAGACCTGAAGACTTGATGCCGTGACCAAAGGTGAGCGGCTGATCCCGGATGCCGCCTCGTCCCTGGCCTCGAGCACGGCCTCGACTGGTGCTAGCTGGACCGCGCTTGGCACGTCGGCCCGACTCAACAGCTTTGGCCTGAGGAAGGTACCAGCTCCATGAGGTACAACCACTTAGGTCACGCCCCGAGCCCAAAGCCCTGGCCCTACCTTGGGCTGCATGGAGGCCCGGAGAGGCGAATCAGCCGCCAGCTCGCCCCGGGCCATCATGGCCAAACTTGTTATTCTATTGTCGCCAGCCAGACCTGTGCCATTTGTACCCCTGCCATTGCTCTGGGCGCCGGCGCCAGACGAACCGGTGCCTTTTAACTCTGCGTCGCAGGTCAGTTGGACAACGGACACCTCACGTGCAAAGGCAGCCCCAAACACAGCAGGTATGGACTCGAGACCAGATTCAACAGGAGCCAAGGCAGCAGCAGCCAGGCACGCAGGAAGATCGGGATTCAAGTCGGGCCACCGCACAACCACATCCATGGTCAAGGCATCAAGATTCAGCACGGCCATGAGCGAGGGCAAGCAAAGAAGAAGAAGATCCTGCTGATGGATGCCGGGGTCGCTTTGGTGGTCCAGTGTCAGTCCACCAATGTCGCGCAAAAAGGCGGCTGCCAGCGAGTCGGTCTGTGCGTCCACCCCCGCAGCGTTTGGTGTCGCGCCCGTGTCTCGTGTCCACGGAACAACGCTCATGGCCAACACTTGCAAATCATCATCGGCCAGCGTCAGACCACCAGCACCGTTGTCAAAGTCTGCGGCGGTGTTTGCAGCGGGGCCCACCGAGCCGGACTTCCACTTGGGGAGGACGGAGGCACGAGTAGCGGTGCTCAATTGACTCTGGGCCATGCTTTGTGCTTGGCGCTCCCGTGCCAGGCGCTGAGCCTCGTGGCGCTGGACATGTTGACGGACGTCCAGGTCACCCGTGGAGCGCAGGCCGCTCCCATCAGCACCGTTGAAAAAGAACAATCGACCGCAGCAATCCGCGGCAACAAGGCTCTGGGTAGACGGGCGGAGCGCCAGGCTAGCCAGTGGGGCAGAGGACACGATGCTGGTTTGATGGACGAGGGTCGCCAAGCGCACATCCCATAGGGCCAAGCGCCGCTCCTCGCCACAGGTGACGAGAAGATCGCTGCACCAGGACAAGAAGACGGCGGCAAAGACGCCAGCTCCGTGCTCCAAGACGCAGGCCAACTCGGCGGGACCAGAGGGGGCTACGCGAAAGACGTATGCTTCACGACCAGCACACACGACGAGAGCCTCACCAGCCACATTAAAGGCCAGCCACTCGGGCGCACCAAGATCGTCTGCCACACGCACACAACCCCCCGTCTGAAGATTCCACAGCAAAACGGTCCGGTCCGATGCAGTGGCCACTAGGAGCGGCGTGCGCGCCCGCGGGGGCTCACAAAAGGCAGCCGCGCGCACTGGAGCGGCATGTCCCGTGAGCAGCGCATGCTGCGTGCCCTCTGCATCGCGCACCACAGCATCCTCACCATCATGAGGGCTTGGCAGACAGGTCCAGCCCGACGCAGCAATGGCCAATTGCACATGCGCCACAGACCGTGCCGTCCGCTCTTGCCCTCGCACCGCGACCTGGAGCTGCATGGCGCGGGCACCGCGACGAAACACTCAACCTTGGCAACCGCTTGACGACACGCGCAGCAACACCGACCTCACCCCAAAGCCCCCATCCAAGTGAGTCCAACCTCAACCAATACCCCACCCATCCCTCCTTACACCTCAACCCAGACCCTCCCGACTGCCCGAGGAGCCACCACAACAACCCCCTGGGAGATCGAGGGAGACAGACACGAGTGAGAGCGAGAGAGAGAGAGATTGAGAGAGAGAGAGATGATGATGATGATGAAAAATTCGTAACGTCTCTTTTGCGCTGGATCTCAATCTCTCTCAATCTCTCTCAATCTCTCTCAATCTCTCTCAATCTCTCTCAATCTCTCTCAATCTCTCTCAATCTCTCTCAATCTCTCTCAATCTCTCTCAATCTCTCTCAATCTCTCTCAATCTCTCTCAATCTCTCTCAATCTCTCTCAATCTCTCTCAATCTCTCTCAATCTCTCTCAATCTCTCTCAATCTCTCTCAATCTCCCTCTCAATCTCCCTCTCAATCTCTCAATCTCCCCCTCAATCTCTCAATCTCTGCTCTCAAACTCTCTCTTTTGCTCTCAAACTTTTTCTCTTCCTCTTTTTGTCGGTCAGTTGACGTGCCTTGTGCATCTCTGTGCCTCTTGTGCACCTCTGTGCCTCTTGTGCATCTCTGTGCCTCTTGTGCACCTCTGTGTATTTCCCATGCGTCGCTGTGTTGAAAGGTCTCTGTTGGCCGAACCCTGTGTCCCTGTGTTTTCATGTTTGAGCTTCCGATCCTTCACATCTCAACCTCTGACGCCACGTAACGGTTGAACGGCTTGTTGTTGAAGTCGGTGGAGAAGTTGAACATATATAACGTTTTATCGTTAATACATTAACAACATTTTTGAAGTTGTTGTTGTTGTTAGTGTAGGTCTTGTAGAACGCGTACTGTCTCTCGCATTTTTTTTCTTCCTCGTGTCGCACTCGGTCGCTGCCCTCGTCTGGCGTCCCGGTTTGGTTGCTCGCGGCTCGTCGGTGTTACAGTGAGGCAGATTCATTTTGCATGCGCGTGTCATTTTCTACAGCACATCGAGCAAGAAACAGCTTGAAGTGAGTGCCGATTCGACGGTTGTCGCTGCCACACGCCACACAGTTACAAGCAGTGATCTCACTTGACGCTTCGGCAGGTGATACCCTGTGCTGACTAAGCCCCTTGGCTTTTCGAGCGGCGGAGAACGGTGCGTTGTTTACCCTCTTGGAGATCGGAAAAGGCGAAGCCCCAACGCCAGAGCCCGCTACCATTTCCCAGAACACACACACACACACACACACACACACACACACACACACCTTGCCAGCAGTTGGAGCCAGTCCGCCGAATAAAGTTGTCAGACGGTTTGTATTTGGAGGGGTCTCATGAAGTTAATGGTGAATAGGGAACGCGAATAATAACCGTTATCATGAGCGGTGATGGATGGCAGCTGTGGAGGGCATGTAATTCATCAGATCCACAAGCGGCGCTGGATCTGTTAAGCAGTTGGGACGCGCAACGTATTCAAGATGCTGTCACCTATAAATCGGTACGTATGTTATCGTAGAAACCAACGATTGCGTTCAAGCCTTGATGTATCCTAACTTTGGTAATTGGTGTGGTAAATCACCTGGCAGGATGTAAGTACCGCGTCGGATGCAGAGGGTGTCTGTCTCCTTCGATCTGCGTGTGTGTATGTTGGAACAGGGGACTCCGCTCATCCTGATGATGTGCTGAAACGCTGGGACATGGTGTGATGTTCCGTTGGCTACGCTTCGTCGATTTGACATGGGCCGGGGCTGTATGTATGTCGGGTGTGTGATGGATCACCTGGCAGCGGGTAAGTACTGCGTCGGATGCAGAGGGTGTCTGTCTCCTTCGATCTGCGTGTGTGTATGTTGGATGTGATGTTGCACAGGGGACTCAGCTCATGCTGATGATGTGCTGAAACGCTGGGACATGGTGTGATGTTCCGTTGGCTACGCTTCGTCGATTTGACATGGGCCGGGGCTGTATGTTCGGGTGTGTGATGGATCAACTGGCAGATGGTAAGTACTGCGTCGGATGCAGAGGGTGTCTGTCTCCTTCGATCTGCGTGTGTGTCTGTTGGATGTGATGTTGCACAGGGGACTCCGCTCATGCTGGTGATGTGCTGAAACGCTGGGACATGGTGTGATGTTCCGTTGGCTACGCTTCGTCGATTTGACATGGGCCGGGGCTGTATGTATGTCGGGTGTGTGATGGATCACCTGGCAGGCGGTAAGTACTGCGTCGGATGCAGAGGGTGTCTGTCTCCTTCGATCTGCGTGTGTGTCTGTTGGATGTGATGTTGCACAGGGGACTCCGCTCATGCTGATGATGTGCTGAAACGCTGGGACATGGTGTGATGTTCCGTTGGCTACGCTTCGTCGATTTGACATGGGCCGGGGCTGTATGTCGGGTGTGTGATGGATCAACTGGCAGATGGTAAGTACTGCGTCGGATGCAGAGGGTGTCTGTCTCCTTCGATCTGCGTGTGTGTCTGTTGGATGTGATGTTGCACAGGGGACTCCGCTCATGCTGGTGATGTGCTGAAACGCTGGGACATGGTGTGATGTTCCGTTGGCTACGCTTCGTCGATTTGACATGGGCCGGGGCTGTATGTATGTCGGGTGTGTGATGGATCACCTGGCAGATGGTAAGTACTGCGTCGGATGCAGAGGGTGTCTGTCTCCTTCGATCTGCGTGTGTGTATGTTGGATGTGATGTTGCACAGGGGACTCAGCTCATGCTGATGATGTGCTGAAACGCTGGGACATGGTGTGATGTTCCGTTGGCTACGCTTCGTCGATTTGACATGGGCCGGGGCTGTATGTATGTCGGGTGTGTGATGAATCAACTGGCAGATGGTAAGTACTGCGTCGGATGCAGAGGGTGTCTGTCTCCTTCGATCTGCGTGTGTGTATGTTGGATGTGATGTTGCACAGGGGACTCCGCTCATCCTGATGATGTGCTGAAACGCTGGGACATGGTGTGATGTTCCGTTGGCTACGCTTCGTCGATTTGACATGGGCCGGGGCTGTATGTATGTCGGGTGTGTGATGGATCAACTGGCAGGTGGTAAGTACTGCGTCGGATGCAGAGGGTGTCTGTCTCCTTCGATCTGCGTGTGTGTCTGTCGGATGTGATGATGAACAGGGGACACCTCTCATCCTGGTGGTTTGCTGATGTGCTGGGACATGGTGTGATGCTCCATGGCCTACGCTTCGTCGATTTGACATGGGCCGGGGCTGTATGTATGGCGTGTGTGTGATGAATCAACTTACAGGTTGTAAGTACCGCGTCGGCAGCAACAGGTCACTGTCTGTTTCGATTTGCGAGTGTGTCTGTTGGATGTGATGATGAACAGGGGACACGTCTCATGCTGGTGGTTTGCTGATGCGTTGGCTCGGACTGTTCATGACGTGCATGATGCTGAGCAATATAGAATGGATCTACGCCGCTGCACATGGCCTCTTTCCACGGACATTCTGATGTCATCGACGTCCTATTGGAGCATGGCGCAGACCTTGATGCCAAAAACACAGTTAGTTTTGCCTGTGTGACCAAACCCTTATTCTGCCTTTCCGCGCGGTGCCCACCGTCGTTCTTCGCATTGTGTTAAAAGTCGCTACTTTGAACCTCCACTGTTCTTTGTGTACCGTTTGAGCTTGAATCAACTGTTGTACACGTGCTCCTTTGCTTTTTTTCGGCGCCTCAAATTTTCATCGTTTTTTGTTCGATTGCTTTCGCCTCACCTTTTTTTTAAGGCTAAGTGGGCCTCTTTCACACACCGCCGTTGCTTGGCATTGCCCCCACATTGCCACCTCTATTTTTGACCAATTCATTGCACCTCTCATCTCTCCTTTCTTCTTATGGCTTGTTCGCCCCGTTTGGCAGGAAAACCAGACACCGCTCGACTTAGCACGCCAAAACGGCCATGGCGACAAGGTGGAACGCATATTTGCAGCTTACAAGGCTGCACAAAACGCACCCCCCCATTCAACTTCTACGCAAACTGCTCCTGCTACGCAGCTTGAGCCATCTTGGCCGCCAACGCTGCCTGACGACGTACCCACCTTGAAGGTGTGTCCAAATCACCTCGTACCAACGGCTTTTCTTCCCCCGCGGTCCAATCATCTTCATATTCGCACTCCTTTACTATTGCACTTTGGAACAGGCGACAGCCTCGGTGGTCATGGCAGTCGAAGCCTGGCTCCAGCCACTGCTGCCCACGAATGCCATCACCCACCCGTTTCCGCACCTCGACGCTTTTGTCACCAATGCCCAAAGCAACGCCGGCGTGCGAGTGTCTGCAAAAGTGATCAAACAGAGAATTGACGAAGCGCCAGTGGATTTGCCTCAGATGGATTGGGCGGCTTTTCAAACAATTGCAGCCAACGCCCTTGCCTCGCTTGACCAGGTGTTGAAAATAGCCGAGGCCCTCGCTGCCCGCATGAGCCAATCGGACCCAGAAGCCACCACTCTTAAAGCAGAGCTCATGGCAATGCACGATCTGACGTGCCAACCCGACCTGAAGCCGGCCTTTCATGAACTTTGCGAAGCACTCACACAATGCCCCGCTCCACCTGCCCCCAGCCCTTCGGCACCGAAAACCCCCCCGGCAAATCTCACAGCGGCCATTGACCGACTGGCTAGCCTTCAGAACGTGGGCTCGGAGCACTCACGTCTCCTGAGGACTAGCAACAACCAGATTGAGCGCCTCATACTCGATCTCATTGATGCCCTGGATACCCTGGCGGAAATGGGAATCAAGGATACGAGTAACCGCGTTCGAAGACTGCGACAACAAGCCAAGCGCCAGCCAATCGAACAGACACCTCCTCAGAGCTTGTCCGCAGCCTGGAAAAAACTCTGCCGGGCCCACGAGAAGCTCAGCCAATCCAATCAGAATGGTCTTGAGCCAGTTGCGCAGTGGCAACCACCTCCCGACTACGAGCATTACGCCTGGTATCAAGCGTTTGTGCATCACGAAACCCAATGCCTGGTGCAACAGCTACAAGACATGAACAACTGGCGAGAAAAGACGATGTCCGTGCTGTCTTCGTGTATGGATCTTGCAGACAATCTGGCTGAGAGCGTTGATGATCAAACTGTATCTGCGCATAAAGAGCTAGCCGAGTTGCACGAGCAGATCAAAGCAATTTCTTTCTTTCTCCAGGCTGCGCCCCCGGACATGCGATCTGGCCTTGGGGACAGATTGAACGAAATGAAAGCTCGACGCGACACCTTGCAAAGACAGCTTCAAGGCCCATCGGATGACGTGGCAAAGTTGGCACAACTGCTGCATCAACATTTTCCGCCCT